GCTGCACATTTCAAACTACAGTGTCCATAAACAAAATGTTAAAATTCATACAATAAGCTTTCCGAAAATATATAGTTTGTGGACAAGGGAAGTCATCTTGGTTTCCTAATTATCTAATTAAAATACCTGTCGGGTAAACTGCATCTCTACCTTAAGGTGATAATAAAGCTATCCCGAGTAGCACCTTTTGTTAAAGAACACAACCCCTACCAACAACTCCACCAACCACCGACACATTTACCAAAATGCAAGACTTTTTCTCTCACAGAATGACAAAACATTATGAGATAAATTCAGTGTATGAGCCATGTTTCACCAATGACAGTAATGCCAAATTATGAAAAGAACTTTTGAAAACGATTCATTTTCGTAACTTAAAGAAAATGGGTTTGGAGTATAGTTTCAATATTTCAGTCGAAGGTTGTGAGAACTTTTCTTTCCACCTGTGAATACAAATCTGAACATCTGAATTGGCACAGACTGTTTTCTTAGTTTTTTTCATAATGAAAACTTCCAGTTAATGTATTTGTTTTATATTCATCCCTACAAACTTTATTTAATATGCATATACTTACATAAGGCTTATTGGGTTTAACTCTAACATAGCCTTCGTATTATAAAAGCGTAGGATATAATAACAATTTGAACTAGTGTATTTTTATTGTCTCATCGTATTCTTAACTAATTCACGAACTTATTTTTTACTGCGTTCCTCTGATGTTAATATAGTGATCGATAAAGTTTGTAAACAATATCAGCAGATTTAAAACAGTTAACACTAGTTCATACACTGCATACAAGTCATTCTTTTAGTGTCCAATGCGTCTGTTTAACATGTTTACAATCGCATTAAACGGATCAATATACACTGTCAAATAAACTAGAAAGACGGCAAAACGTACACATGTCATCTTGTGGGGGTTCTAGTTACTACAATATAACTTGACTGTATTTATGAGTATGGGTAGAGATTGTTATATAGACCAGTTCATATACACAGATGCGATGGACACTTTAAAGTAAATTATATAAATATGGAATCCAGCAAACATTAAACAAAGTTATACCTACGCTAGATGAAATCGTGATGCATTCAGTACAGATCAAACTAATTAACTAAATTATAAAACAAAAAAATTTATAAAGAATTGCCACATAACTGTTAATGCTAATCTAAAGTAATCATGTGATCTTGTGAATCTTTTATATTTAAGATATACGTATCTTTTCAATTTCTGATATTTGGTACTTCTGGTATTGAGACAATACAGTACTTCAAATTACTGTGGGCCAACACAATATGTAAGCGTTGACGTCATCAATGTGATCGCACGTCCACTTTATGAATCCTAAAATTTTGAACGCTTTAGAAACAATAATATTTATTCAACTTTTACGTATTCGATGAAATGTACACAATTATGTAATAGTAATGCACATTCCATTTGATTAGATGAAGTTTGAGTTTACAATCTTAACACCAGAGGGCGCAGAAATTCTAGTATGCGTGTAAATGAATGCAGACATTAAAACATGGCAACAGCTTTCCATGAGGACCGCCAATGACCACCAAGTCATGATTCAAGATAACCGCATACACCGTAATACTGTAATGAGTGGTGAATTGGTAAAATGCAGCTGACATAATTGAATACCCTGCTGAAAACTTAAGTATAAGTAGTCAACCTGAGTTGTAATGCAGTCAATGCAGTTGACAATATCAGTTGCAGTAGAGCTGCCTGATCGTCTTCGGGTAGAATTACAAATATACATAACTAATTACATTAAACATTTTAAATGAAGTGTCCAAATGCACCGTGGCAATTCAAGTTGTGCAACAACTGCCAAGAAAAAGTAACTTTAGAAGGAAATATTTTACCTGATTTACATAGTTTTGCATTCAATACATGTATTATTGAGCAAGGTTGGAACTATGAATACCACAGTGCCTATGTTATAACGTTCATTACGTCACTGATATGACAGACAGAAGTTATATTGTCGAATAAGCACTGATATATTTCGGACTAATTAATATGTGTACATTGCATGGACCAAGTATCAAGTAAAGTAGAAAAAAAATGCCGATGTATCTGGCGTTACTATGTTTTTAGTTTTAGCAATGTATGTGCATATAATCAGTTTTAGTAAATTCTTCTGTTTCACGTGGTATTAAATATTGAAATAGTGTTAATACAATAATTCATTATTCCAATGTATTAATGGGAGTTGACAATAAATACAAAAATAATCCAGTAATACATAATTATAAAATATATAATTATATGTGTTATCATATTATCCTGTTATTTGTTTTTAGTAACATGCAAACAATCCATGTTATCACCCATATATAACTCCACAGTACTGCATATTTCCCTTGCCATATTAGGGGTTGATGTTATATCCAAAGTTACAAATGTAAAATTAACAGATTAATTTAATCTTTAATTAACCTTTCATACAGCGCATATATTGGAGACACGCCTTCCGTTTCCTGTAACGATTGAGGTGGACTTGGTGTGGCCGAAGAATGTGAAGGCTCCAATTTAGAATGCACCCAGAACGGTTTTGGTTGTCTGGGTGCCCTTGCTTCTGCAAACAAAGCTGCGGGTTCCACGGGAACGGTGTCTCGTGGCATTGCCTCAGCTTCATCGATATCGTCATTTATGGAAGTTTCTTTATCTGTTTCGGCATTAAACAGCATCGAATCTTCTTCCGTGTCATACAACACACACGTGCCTTCTGTTTGGGTTGAAACTGTGGTCATAGATGGTTTGGCCAGCGAGGCATCGGTTAAACTATCTGTTGGACCATGGCTTAGTTTTTCTTGCATTTTCATCACGGCACGACTATTTGGTATTTGCATTTCGTCTTCGGCGTTTTTCAAAATGTTATCATTTGTTATAACATTTGAGGTCATTTCCTCTTGTAACTTAACAATCCCAGCACTATCTTCCCGATTAGACTCTGCTATAGTAGATCTGATGTCAAGCAAACTCTTCATAATGCTGGCTGTGAAGTTCCTAATGTGCTGAATGGACCTATCACTTCTGTGTAAGTTTGAAAGCACCTCATACCTGAAGTAGAGATGTGAAATAATTGAAAGTGTATTCCTTATATAACTTAATAAGGTCAAATTGTGTGATTCACAAAATATATACCATATGTATAGGCATAATGACCATTATATGTCATACCTTAAACCTGATATATCCTGCTTCAGACGTAGGATGTCCACCTGAGACACGTGTTTTTCATTTTCATGACCTCCAGATCGTTTTTCAGCCCAGTATCTACTGACTAACTGCTGGATGACTTCCTATTTAAATGAAACGAATACAGATTTTGAAATTCATCACACGATTAAAATTCATTCAGTAACGAACAAATCACACCTATTGGTGACATTTAAAACACGGTGTAGTTACAGAGATACATACCTCATAACGTCGTTCTAAATCGGCAATTTTATCCCATTGTTTCTGAAATTAATAGAAATCATTAATAGCTTAGACATATCATCCCGTTTAGTGTTTTATATGAGTGGACGCGAGCGCGTCATTATTTATAACAATGTATACACATGGTAACTACCGACCACGTGTGGCACAGTAGATGTTGCATCAGACCTGTAAAATTAACACTTGAAATTTGCACATACAAACCATCAGGAAAAACAACAGTGGCATTCAATGACGTGAAATGGCACAACAATATTAAAGCGGCGGAGTCGTCACCTGCGCATACGTCAGATGGCCAGAGCGTGTCATTTTTCACAAATAAGCGTCAACCCATGAGCCTTTGCGTTTTTAGCATGTGTTGTTATCATCGCTTGCTTGGGACACAATTATCGCGCGTGCGCAGGTGACGACCCTCCCGCTTTAATGTAAATCACATTTAACTTTACCTTGGTTCGTTTCCTTTGTAACCTAGGACAACAAGCATATATGAGTGATTTCATTCTATAGTATATACTCTTCACACTTGGAATGATGTTGAATGGCGGCGGGACTGTTGCACCACCTTCGAAAAAGCTCATCCACAGCTGGGCTCTGGAATATTTCCACTCTCTGTCCGAATTTTCCTGACGTTAAACAAGAACAAAACTTGTAAATATTCATCGCCTAACTCTTAGCTATAATATTATCAAATCATATTTTCTTTCTAAAATTGTAATATAGATACAAAACGAAAACCAAATTCACTGCAAATCGAGTTAAAAGAAGTATTAAGGTAGAAGCCTATTCATGGCAGTGTTCATTGCTTAATTATGTAAATCCGTGAAGCTAGTGTCTAATGAAATCATTCTTCCGTTTGTTACAGTAACGTTTTTCGCGAAATTTGTCGTAATATTTAAAAAAAAATTATTTTTAGAACAATTCCATAGAGCACAATGTTATTCCCTTCTTTGCCACTTTTTTAAAACCCCGATTTTTGAAATAATTGATAACAAAAAAAGTATACCATTATTCTCAATATATAATTTTTTTCAGCCTATGTCATCAGCCTACAATTTAAGATATGATATATTATCTCTTCCATTGGAACCCATGGTAAATCTTTATAATACTGACAAAATGGCTACTATTTACTAAAATACAACCATCATTTTCTCGAAAATTAAGCTTGTGACCCCCAAATTTTCAATATCCTTACATTGCTCGAAACTATAAAATCTATTGGAAAATGAATTAATTCTGGGTATTTGAAATCATGAGTCGGCTTCTACCTTAAGTAAGCCGACTAAATCACACCTAGCAGAAAAAATGTTGGTATGATAACGTACTCTCGTACAACTATCAAATGAAATGAAACTAATGGATTGGCTACTAATCGTATATCATACCTCGATTCTAGTATATGTGTTGCTCATCATTGCAATCAGGGCGTTGAGAAGTATGATTACTGCTGCAATACCGTACAGTGCATAGGCAATCTCGCCTACAATTTCTGTAAATGGGTGATTGGCGGTAACTTCTAGTTTTTCCAGAGCAGACACACCGAACAAGGTCCAGAATAGCGCCCGAATCGTGCTTGTCAGACTGTAATAAAATCACATAAATATCTCATTCGAAAGGGTATTCATAGTGTGAGCGGAAACAATTCAGCAGATAAGTGAAGGAGAATGAATGTTATAGGAATATTGTACCGGTCCTAGGTCGATATACATACCTGTCGACCCAAAGAGAGCATTTTTGACCGAAGCGAAGCCGAACACTTGGAACGATGGTGGCGGGACTGTGAAAAGGTTTTCAATGACAATCTACATCCACAATGCTCTCCAGATAGCTGTTTTGTCACCCTCCCAATGGTTCAGAAGTATTTATACTCCAAGAAATTACTGTTACATTTTTATAGGTATCAACTAGCTACTGGCGAATTTCTGACATTACAGAAGCCGCGATATTTATAAATACTCGACGCGCGCACACACAATCAAAAACAGCACACTAAACTTTGGGTCAGTCGGACCTAAATAAAACGCGATTAGTATCTCCTGGTTACAAGTTATCTTATCAAACATAATTCGGTCCTAATGATACAAGATACCTTGTTAAACCGAAAATGTTACAGCCGTTTGACTTGACCATGAATATTAAAGCTGAACGGCGAATCAGCGTTTTTAGATCGATCGTAACGTCTGCGCAAGCGCTGAAGCCGAAAATTACGTAATTTTGCGGTATTTTACGGGGTATTTTCATCCTACCATATTAGGAAATGCAAATTCCAAATATGGAATGATTACGCGCGTAGCGTCCTCTAACATTAAAAACAAACATGGCTGCCACCAGGGTTTGACCGGACAAAGAAGTTCGCTGATTCTGTTCTAAACTTTTTGGATTTCGGCATTCCATGATGTATCCTTGTAAGGAAAAGATGTATAATCTGCGCGTCGGTCGATACTGCCGATGTACTGTCTTCGTGCATACTTTGAGGTACCTTCGTAATAACCTTATAATATTTTTAAACGCTTTACATTTGATGGCGCAAAACATGCACATTAGCGTGCGTATGACGTGTTAGTTTCGCACTGGATTTTATATATGACCAACTTTTCATTGAAAAAGTATGTGACCATGACTCCTTGATTTAAAACAATTCAATAACGTGACACTAAATTGTTTACAAACTTAGGGAGTAAATTACTTTCAATAGTTAGTGTTATATTAAAGGCATATGCCAATTAGGTGGAACATACAATAGGTCTACCGGTCTAACAAGATATGAGAACAAAGATAAAACCGGAAGACAGATTTATTCTGTACTTGTGTTAAGCTAAATAAATTAATAGAATATTGTTCGTGCTTATACAATATATATAACTAACCTTGTAAATCCACTGTAGCAACTGGATAGTGCTTGTTCATGCCGGCATTCTAGTATGGTTAGTGACGAATAGAATTTATACAATTGGGTCAAACCCACAGCAAATGCTAATAGAACAAAACCAAAGATTGCCAGAAACCTTACTATATCATAAAACATCTTCCAGAGAGAGATCTGAAGTGGACCAACTTGTTTACTTATAACAACAATGTTGATCAGACGAAGCACGCTAATAATGTTGGCCATGGCAAACACTGCTTCTGCAACTAAATCAGGGTCATAGCCACTCCAGCCGGCCCGCGACTCTACTCTGAACTGCTCACTTGAGTAGTCCTTCAAGAACTGTATTGGTGCCTCTGTGGCCGTTTCACTGGACGTCGTACAGCTGAAATTGTTTATAAGTGTTTGTGTCAGTTTTGCAAACTGTTGGTTATGAGAGTCTGCAACGAATCCTGTGATATTAGTAATCGCTTGGTCAACATAGCTTTTTAAATCCGGTATTGTGTTGTCCTGCATATAGGAGTCCAATTCCATAACTGACATCCTCTTCCGTCTTATTTCAAATACACTGTTACTTCCAACTGATTCATTTAAAGCATCAAGCTCTTGATATTTCCGTCTCCACTGTGGATGAAATATGAATATATTCACAATACAATACAATACAATAGTATTTGATTTGTATATCGTATATGATTCATATTCCAAATAGTGTAGATCTAGACAAGTCTTTGCAATTTTGTTGAATCTATCAAAATAGTCATGTTCTTGATACAAGGCTGAACATATTCAACTGGTGCAATAAAGTGTCGAGCAAAGTAACACTGAAATATGGATCTGACAATTTATTATTCACATTTCCTGAAAAATCAGTTCAGAATTACCCGCTTCAGCCACGTGTGAGTAGATTCGAAAACTGAACGGAATATAAAATTACTTTGTAAACGATCTTGTAATACTTGAACCTGATTAACTTAAAGTGCAAACATTTCAGTCCACTTTCAACATCCACCACCCCGAATGATGCAGATTAGAACGACATTAGAAAAATATGAAGGATCAAATTTGCTAGGAACGACGGACACTGTTGTGACAAATATATTCTATTAGGATTGACCATTTTGCACTGACTTTCTTATTTTGTTGACGAATTTTGGAGAATTAGATAACTAAGAACTTACAAACTGGCTCGTTGTGAACAGCTGTTTATGACGTAATAATAAAGTAAAATCTCCCCACCATCCCTACAATCTTTCAAACTGTTTCCAGGATTCCAAAAATAACCAGCCTTGACGTTACTTACAATCAGCCATGATACCATCATCAGTGTGTATGATATCCAATACAGTGCCAGCTGAACAAAGTCCATAATATTCCAGGAATCGAATGAATATGACACTGCGCCTTTTTTCCATAACTCTTTTATTTCTCTCCATGTCATCCCTGAAATTGAAAGATTGTTTTTTAATTTCAATAACATTTATTTCAAATCTACTACTAAACCACATATACCACTATGATCGAAGGCATCTTCTTCTAACGCTATCGACATACAAACTCGTCTTGTTTCGGGGCTGTTAATGTTAGTAGTATTCCTGGAATATTACGGTTAAAAAGACTTCTTGAGAGTTTATGATCAATGACGCTCATATTTGTGGTTAAAACCCCCATGTCGTTAGAACTAATGCCGCATCATGCTAATGGCCAATTTTGAATATTATGATACTAAACATGCATATGAGAATTTTTCACATTTGATTTTATGAGACTACTTTCCAAAGCATCTGACAAAACTCCGGATTAGTGGAAATAATATCACACTAATTGTTTTGCCACACACATTTTTGCCACAGAAGTCATATTCATGTTTGGGTCTACATGACAGGGCTGTGCGCCCTTCTCCCTATCAAATGGCAATTTTAATACGCTATGCTGGCATCAACCAGGCTACGTCGAACACAAACACCTGCGGACCTTAACTCGGCCAGTAGAAATGGCCTTTCCATTTCCATTGATCCTTTTAATGTTCAGCCTAATGTATGATTTGAACTTTGGTATACCGATTATGAGTCTGATACGACAACCACTATGCTACCAGCGACACTAAATTGTTCGCAAATTTAGAGAGTCAAGTTGTCAATACCTTACATATTGATTACCTATAAATGTATCTCTCTCATAACTGATAAACGTGTACTCTAAAATGCATATGTGTTCACGCACAACCACTTACCTAATACCCAAATAAACATAAAAGTTTCAACCAAACTTGGTTGTTTCCCACGAAGACTGTCCTGCAACAAGAAATATTGCAGCACATTTGTCGAGCTATATGCTCCTCCTACGTATGTCCAGTCTTCGACTCTTAACAGAGAAAGGAAGATCAAGGTAACAAATCCCAACGATGATGCCGTATGCATTAGGAATTTAACATACCTGTAAAGAAGGATTCGAAATGAAAATGTAGTGCAGTGCGGTGCAGTGCAGTGCAGTGCAGTGCAGTGCAGTGCAGTGCACCTATATCAAAAAGGAGGCTTATTTCCCTTATGGTAGATATTTCGAGTGCCTTTTGAGAATTTAGATAACAAAAACAAACATCTCTTAGCAGTTTTATATTAATACACTTTTGTCAGAATGAGAATAGTCATAAAGCAGTCGTACTTTAAGATCTTCTGTGATCTGGTGTTGGCCATTTTGTAATTTGTTTGTCAACATGATAGATCACAGAGTTACGGACATTGGACTCTCTCACTGTAGTTGTGAGCAAAAATAATTTTACATAATTTTACTTTGAATTCTTTATATATTGCGTATCTTTTGATAAAAACATGAAGGTAGTCATCATAAGTGAATTGTTAGATATTTCGAGTGTGTAGATGTAGTGTAGTGTAGTGTAGTGAACTAATTACAGTTCACAAATTCATTCTACTCACGGTATTTGCAACAACTTCGTCACTTGTCCTCTTGGAAACAATAAGTACAGAATGGACAGAAAAGGGAATGATATCATAAGCAAGCTGCTAATAATAATTTTCGAGAAACTACTTCGTTCTCTCCAGTCAGTCAAACCACGATACCAACGTTCAATCAGAAACTGTTGACAATGTGGGTGAGCAACAAACTAAGAATAAAGAGACACATCAATCATAAAAACATATTTTTCTGAATGCCACCCTCTCTAAAATATTAGTGCATTGTTTCGATAGTGTTTTGTTGTGATAAAATGGGCACGATGTCTGTCTCATCGTCTCTAATTATTGGTAAACATTTTTTAAGGAGTCAGAAGAAAGTTATTCAAGCCGGCAGGGCGGTTGGCGATCCACTCCGCTCAAAAAACAACATGTTTCGGCTGTTGCCATGGTAGGACATGAACGTGAAGCTTACGTCGGCTGATAATTAAACCGGGCCCCATATACATTCGCAAAGAGAATTCAGTCTTCCGAAGTCAGTTCACTCAAAGACTATAGTCTCTATAGTTTTTGCTTCACTTTATTACCGGGCTTTATTACTAGCGAGTCTTTTGCTGTAATCGTTATTACATCCACGCAAGTTGACAGGTGAACGTTTTTTAATTGTATTTTCCAGATTATTTGATTGAACGCAGCATTTACTGTTCAGTCAAAGTTCAAAGTTGCGTTCAGATTTTACCACCTAACTCGAGTGAAGGTGTGACCTGCCTGCCAAGTTTAAGCAAAATCGGCCAAGTCAGAAGATCACAGTAGAATAAATCTGTGGAGACACAGGGAATCACACACACACGAAAGTGATTTTAAAGGCAATCCTAGCAGAGCGAATCGCCAAAAATGTGAAATTATGCGGAAGTATAATAATTATAAATTTGTAACTATGCATCACATTGTGACATATCTTTTTCATTGTAAAACATGACTAGAAAGCAATACACCGAGAAGTCAAGTTGAGTACTTCGTCTGCTTAGTGACTTCATGACTGCGATCAGATAATCACTTTTGACGCGTCGATTAGATTTCTAGCACAGTTGATAATTTGTATAATTTTATTTTTAGATGGATTGATTTCTGCATATCGGACCGATAACTTCCTCTTCCAATTAGATGGTTATTATGTGTCTACTATAAAGGCTCGATAAGGTATTTTCGTGAGCAGTAATAAAGTGTAATAATGTAATTTAATTAAAAAGAAACGTAAATTCGTAGACATGAGCAAGACGTAAAACGTAATCGGATTCTGCATTCGTCCTACATTTTATTTTTTGTACGCGTATAAAGCATTTCCCCCATTAAATGGTGTAATTCGTAGGCAGTTTCCAATTTTGATTCTTAAACACAAATTATCATTTTTTTATTATAAATTATAAATTTGCTTTATCTGTAAAGCGTAAAACCCTTTTTTTTACTGTAAACAAAACTTTCATTTTATTTCCTGTGAAAACCTGTACCAGCTACCCCCACTTGCCCCCCCTCCTATACCAACTATATGCTTCAAGATTTTGAAACAGACCATGCTGGAAACATAACAGTGAACAATACTAAACATGAAATTAAGGTAGAGATGCAGTTTACCTGACAGGTATTTTAATTAGTTAATTAGGAAACCAAGATGATCTCCCTTGTCCACAAAATTATATATTTTCGAATAGCTTATTGTATGAATTTCGAACAACTAGGATTATTTCTGGCTCGTGGTCTCTAAAGTGACATTTCAAATTTGCGAACTCAATTTCCATTGTCTTCATTGAACTCGTTATGTGGCAAATTCGATTGACGCAATCGGTTTCACATCACGTGACATTGATTAACAATAATTATTCAAGCTTAGCAGTGTGTCTTTTAAAGCGGGAGAGTCGTCAGCTGCGCATGCGGCACAAGGCCTTAGCGTGTCGTTGTTTACAAACATGGGTAGACACCCATGAGCCTTTGCGCTTTAGCGTGCGTTGTTATCGTCGCCTGGGACTCAATTCCCGCGCATGCGCAGGCGACGCCTCTCCGCTTTAACCGGTTCGTGTTTTAGACTTTTATTCGTCAAAATCTCAATTGATACGTTATTCATTTATTTATTTATTTATTAACATAAATACAATATACATCCACATAAGTACTACACAATCGGTCTATATTTGCAAAAACCTTTATCTTATTTCCCAGTCAAATAAGTTTCCTATGCTTTTTTTAATAATATTGAAGTGTCAATGTCAGATCATTACGAACACATTTTGGAGCAATGGGACAATACGTTAAATGTGTTTTAACAAAATGCGACAAAGCTATACTATTGAAACATCCAGCATTCAATAGTCCATGTTTTAGCGATCGTTTTGTATTCATTTTGTCGCTTTTGAAAAAGGTTCATATTCATACCATTACATCGTTTATATAATAACCGAATATAGTTATATTATTTATCTCAGAGTTTATCTAACGACCCACTAATTTCTAAGTCAGCCTACCTTCTTTTGTCTGTACTTAACTGCGGTGAATGCCTTGTGCGGCATTTTCGCATCAATTTTCTCGGATTTTGCCCACTCTGTCGGGTTGTATGTAAGAATCGTGTGAGTCTCCCGAGTATTCCGTGTCTGGGCCAGCAAGTCAGCAGCGAACGTCTCGCACTGCTCTTCCAGTTCGATGTACTCGGCGCCAAATTCCACGTCCCGTTGGCTCAATTTTCGCAGCTTCCCGCTCAATATGAACGCAGTATCGATAGGATCTTTGCTGGTCAGAGTAATGAAGGCTTCACTAGACAGTGCCCTGTAGACGAGCAGTGTGCCCAGGGACTGTTGTAGTGTGTGTTTCTCCTCATTTTCTGAACACACGCTGACTCGGGGTCTTCGATATGAGCTCCGTGATCAAGAAGAATCTGAAAGTATCATTGCGATCTATTTATTGTTTATTATTAACAAAACTAGCAAAACTTGCCATAATCATTAATTCAACGACCGTTGTGAAAACTAATTAAAAGATCAAAATAGGTTGTTTAGATAGACAGAACTACAATTCGAGTTCCCTCAAAAGTTCCATTATTTTGTATTGGGGCGTGAAAATACGTCATTCATGCATATATAACTGTGGCAAAATTCGAACATGGTGACGACAAATTACCTGAATTGCAATTTAATCGCTTAAAACACGTTCAACTCGTGTATACAAATTAATGGGCATAGTGCCGGTACTAAGTATCACATTTTGCAATAAATTATTTCAGCTCATCTTCAATATTTTATGGAAGTAACAGCGTCACTGTGTTTTGGTTATCTGATGTGGAAATGTAGAAAGGTGACAATGCTATACTTATTTACTATACATATATATATATATATATAACAAGTTGTATCGTTATAAACCTGACAGTAATGAAAGAAAACAAGACTTGAAGCGTCGTGGTTTCGAGCAGTGGTGATGCGACTCTCCGTTTTAAGCCCTGAGAAATATTCCTATTTGGCAGTTGAACATACAAAATAAATTGGAAAATGAAAATGTAGTTTATTGGAAATTGTATTTCGTATTAGGGTATGCACATCCATTATGAAATGATACAGCGTCTGTCAAATATGTTTCTCCATACCGCGTCCCGTGAGTTCTTGTATAAAACGATGTGGATGACTCTCACCGCGTGCGCCGCTTATGGTGGAAATAAAATATACTTTCTTCTTTACGAAGACCTTCAAGTTCCCTGGTTTCTACGTTACTGGGCGTGAACCGGTAACAGAGAATGGTCGATTTTTTTTAATTCTCGTTCGTGAGCCCACATGTTGTTTAATAGTTCAATAAATTACATACTTGTATCCCCATAGATTTCTTATAAAAGTGTAAACGGATACCAAGACTGTATAGATTGTTTTCTTTCCACATTCAGTGTGTGTATTTATGAATGAAAACACTTTTTGTATATTTTACGAACATTTAATACACGTTTAAAGAATATGTAGATGCCGGCAATACAACATGAAGCTGGTATATATAGTATGTGATATTATGAAAGAAGGGAAAGGTCTGTATTTATATTTAGGATGTCGCTTCTTGAAAGATACCATAGCGAATGTCCATTCTCGGATTACAGAATGTTAATGCGGGAGGGTCGTCACCTGCGCACGCGTAGGTGACGATTCCGCCGCTTTAATGTGAATATTAATGTTACCTTGATAATGTCGTAATTATTGTGATGTGCCGCTAATACAATCGGCGTAATAACTTGGTGGAAGTCTTCATTTTCAGATCTACAGTTGATAATATCAATTCCACGTCTCTGTTGGTCAAAAAAATAACATTTAATGACGTAATCCTTAGAAGTTGATATTTTTATAATTTAGGGAATTTTCCGTTCAACTGCGAGATCTCGTGAGTTGCGTGAAATACGTGCGCTGAACGTCTGCCGCAAAAATCGAACGATTTTATTTTGAACTTGAATTTCTTTATTTTGTAACTCGAAAGGTCGATTTTTGACAAGGGAATATTGCGTTTGAATATAATATATTTTCATACATATTTTGTAATGTAAATTTATTTCATGTCAATAATTAATTTGCGTGATTGTAATGGGCCGGAGGCCATTATACAATTAATAAATTATTATATTATTATTGCGTTTAAATACCCTTACTTCATCGAAATTGACCATCATCAAATGTGTACAGCACATTATTAAGCATGGAAATGTCCCCAAAATACTTTCGCGTTTGTCGAATCCCACGCGATTTTTGTCGCCACTACGACGCTATGACCTTTATTTGTCCTGTATTTACATTCGATTTCCCGGAAAAATGGTGTATTGTAAGTACTTGGCTGAAACGGTGTGGCGCCAGCTATTGTTGGCACTACCGTGGACACCACTATATTGCTTGACCCACTTATTACTTCCGGGGTTGACACGCCGTGACGCCAGCTAACGTCAGTAAAACCATGTGTACTACTTGACTCCACCTTAGGGATGACTCATGATGAAGAACTGGATGTGGGGAAATGTTTTGATATAATATCCTTTATTGTGTACAACCACTGTACCTGTTTGTATATGGATCACTTAGTACGTATGAGCGGCGATTCCAGACAAAAAAAATGGAAACAAATTACATTTCGCCCAAATTAATTGGATTTCGAATTATGTACATATTTGTTTGGATTAGGGCCGAGTATGGCACTAGGTGGCACATTTCCTCAGCCTCAGCATATGTCACGTGTTTGTGCCGCTTTCGTTCCGCTGAGTAACGTTTGTTAGTCACAGTAAATAGATGTTTGTATTGTCCGAAGCCGGCAAATCAAAAACAGCGACGCTGTGAAGAGCGTCCTCTCACGTCAATAGCGATTCGTTGTTAGAGGCGGCGACTTATTAGGTTCCCATCGATCTAGGATCCAGTTTTATGAAGGTGATTTTCAGTCAGCAGAGGCAGCGGCACGAATTTTTGCATGAAGGGGCGAGATCTGAAATCTAAACTTTCTGAAACGCGACCGCCCGGTACCGCCGCCACTGGTCAATGGTTCTTCTGCTGCGCGTAACAACACTTACAAGAAGAGAGCCAGTAACGCTGAACACATATTCTATGTTCACTGTAAGTACAACTGAAGCGCCAAAAAACTTTTTTCTGAAATGTAAACATATTACTTACACGGAGAAAACGGGAACTTTCACATAAGATTTCAACGGCTTTAAAGAAATCCAGATCAACAGCTCTCAGCAGTGCGTCACCAACGTGAATCTTGTGTTTTAAGAGTAACTTCAATATCTCTGTAATAAAACATTCAAAGTGATCTGGTTGCTTTGCTTTCACTCATCGACGTCATAATGACGTTATATAAGCGCGTCATCGCTGGAGGGCGCGACGTATGCGCGAAGATGTATGTTCAGTATTCAGCACCTCAGCATGCCCGCATATGTTCAGCACAATCAGCGGTACGAACTGTCATCCAGGATCAGTGGCGACGGCGCAAGGGGGGGGGGGTTGGCAGAGGAGTAAGTCGCCCCCTCGAAAAATAATGTTAGAGGGGTCGCCCCTCCAAAATCAAGCTGAAACTCTTTGTGTCATCAAAATTTGCCCCTCAAAATGCAGGAAATAGTGTTTCAGAGGGTCTAGATTTCAAAATTAATAAGGGAGAGCATGCCTCGAATCCCCTAGCAAAAATCACGTCTTCGGAGCAAGGTTTGTGAGCAGATCTCGCCCCCTCATGCAAAATGTTGTGCCGCCGCCTCTGAGGATTTACAGTAACACGATGCATTCACGTGTTTCAAAAAATGAAGTTGTTTCTATGTTGTACGCCTTAATCTCACTTACCTATATGGCCATTAAGAAGGGCAATCACCATGGCACTTCTTCCATTGTTATCGACGGCCATCACGTTTATCTCATCCTTATGCTTGAGGGCGTACTCCACTGCATCCAAATCTCCCTTCTCAACGGCTGCCAAGTAAACCTGCTCCAGACTCTCCTGGCGCTCCTCTTCGTCTTGCTCCTGTTCCATACTCTGTAAAATTAAGAAAGAACTACGGTGTCATGTAATCCACAGTTTTTACTTTGAGCAGAGTCGAACTAATTTAGTTAAAAAAAAAAAAACAGTTTGCTGATCAATATATGTGATTATGAATTATTATTAAATAATAATTGCGCATGCGTATTAGTATTTTTCATTGTTCATAAATGCATACTATTTGAAATGATTGATTTGAAAAGATGATGTTCACATAAACAACATATTCTATAATCGTTGCGTACGTTGCATGGGACCCACCTCAATGAAGACGCGCCACGACATCTACTACACTTACTTAGGCAGTACTGATACGTCGTGAAACTAGTTTCGTAACCTTGGTTAATATGTCGCGATTTATAAATATGCCTTTTGTCATGTTTGTGAGTCAATAAAGACAAACACTGTTGCAACACGTGTGGCCACGTCCCAGCTTTATTCCAGACCGCCCGTACTCCCATAATCTACAGACTCCCTAGCACAATTGTCATTCATAATATATTACATCCTACAATGAACTACTGACTCCCTAGCACAATTGTCATTCTTAATATATTACATTCCTCCTTCTTTAATTTGTAATTGCCCGAACTGAAAATATAATTTAAATACGTCTTATCTTAATCGAAAAATGCCTATTAAAATTAAATCTTTTTACTACAAACCTATATAAGTTACGTTAGTCTGTTAGTATATTAGTATATCAGTATATCAGTTATTCCAATTATTTTTAGTTTGTGTTTTTTTTTTGTTTTTTTTTTTATTCTTTCACAGTCTGCTCTTATCCGACATATAGTGTATTACTAACTACATTACCCATTTTCAAATTCAATGAAAAATCGCAATAAATATCACCATAAATATCAATTATTCAACTATAACATCAAGTATATCAAGTATATTAACTCCAGAAAAATCGAAATGAATGTTCAATATAAACTCTAAATCACATAAAAATTCATAATCCCGTTCAATTTAATATTGCAGTCTGTCCGGCGGTTTCCTTTCTCTCGCAGGATATCTTCTTTCTATTTCTCGTTCTGGGATCTGATTACCATTTCCATTATTCCTACCATTACCATGTTCACCATTACCATTACAATTATTTTGTTTCCATTACCATTATGTTTACCATTACCATTATATTGTTTACCATTACATTGTTTACCATTACCATTATTTCCGATATTTTTCTTGTATGTAATAATTTGGTCGCCATGTCGCCTCATCTTGTCCGGGGTCTTCACCTTATAAGATACAGGGCCACTCCTTTCTACAATTTGTCCGGGTATCCATTTTTTCCCTTCTCTAAAATTTCGTATCATCACGGTTTCACCAATGTCGGATTCTTTATGCTTTCTTTGTTTATCGTGATAGCATTTCTGATTGGTTTGACGTTGTACTACATGACCTTATATATTTGGTTTTAATAAATCTAGCCTGGGCTTCAATGTCTATCAATACCTGGCCACCGAACATGCATTCTTGCAAGCGATTTCATCTTTACAATTCCAAGGTGACCTTGATGGAGTTCTTCTAACACACGATGACGAAATTTTGCTGGGATTACTACCCGAATACCCCAGAACAAAAAAAATAGTTTCCACAGTCAATTCGTATTTCCTTCTAAAATATGGTTGCAATTCTTCACTAACTGTATTTGGCCAACCGTTCTGTGTAAAATGTCGTACTTTAGACAAAATTGGATCTGATCTGGTAGACTGTTGTATTTGTTTTTCAGTAACTGGTAACAATTCAATTTGCTGAATGTTCAATATGCTTGACTCTGACAATTTTGAGTTGCAGTACATATTTAGTGGTAACCGTGATAATGCATCTGCATTTGCATTTTTCGCAGTTGGTTTGTATTCAATGGCGTCTGGAATAACGGGCGGTCTGGAATAAAGCTTGGACGTGGCCACAACGAAAACAGTTTTTTTTTAGCATAGCTCTTTGTTTTGGAATACACTGCACATACTTCATGCTCTTTTGTATTGGTTTGCAACTCACTGGCTTGTTTATTTGCAGTTTCATAACTCTGAGCAAGTTCAAATGCACGATCAAAGGTTAGACCTGACACAGTTAACAATTCCTTTTGTGTAACAGAACCCCGCATTCCACACACAAACCTGTCACGCAGAGCTTCATTCAAAAAGGTTCCGAATTCCTATTTTTCAGCAAGGTGTCTGAGCTCGGCTAAAAATATAGCAACAGATTCTCCGACCAGTTGGTTGCGACCATGGAATTTAAATCGCTCCGCAATTGTTAATGGCCTTGAGTTAAAATAAGTATTCAATATTTCCACGAGTTCACTGAACGGTTTGGTTGAGGGTTTCACTGGAGCTAACACATTTCTGAGAATATCGTACGTCTTAGGACCAATGACAGTAAGAAATATGGCGACTTGCTTACCCTCGTCAGTAACTTCATTTGCTTTGAAGTATTGGTCTAGTCTTTCTGTATACAAAACCCAATTTTCGCCTTCTGTAAACTCTTCTATTTTCCCCAGTAAAGCCATGCTGGTTTCTTCATTCAACCATTCATATTTCAAACACGTCTACCAGGTTTATGGTATCCTGCCGACTACGCCATTGTAATGTTTGTGAGTCAATAAAGACAAACACTGTTGCAACACATGTGGCCACGTCCCAGCTTTATTCCAGACCGCCCGTACTCCCAAAATCTACAGACTCCCTAGCACAATTGTCATTCATAATATATTACATCCTACAACGAACTACTGACTCCCTAGCACAATTGTCATTCTTAATATACTAGTATTGCACCTTTGTTTATTGATGTTAATTATTGATTACGGGAATTATTTGTCAATATATTTGTCTTCTTCTTTTTTTTCGTGAAATAAATAAATTTCTAGTCCCAAAGTAAAAAAATCACTCCACATATTACAATTGGAAACTATCTAAATACCAATTTTATCAATAAATTTGATAAAACAGTATTAAAAATGGTGTATTTTATGCAGCGTGACGATTCCACAATAATATACGCTAGAATAAATAACTATGAATAGCCTGACTACTTAGAATTAATGAAAGTCCGCAATGGTCTGTAGCAAAATGGAATGAAGCGTAATTTATTTAAAATGAAAATAAAAAGATGATTAATTTTATCGCTGATAGCGAAATGTTGAGGCATGATGATCGATTGACCTACTGTCTTGTCTTGTCTACTGTCTTGAACCCAGTCTGCTAATCAACGAGTATATTGTGTGAGTTGAGCCAATCGTATGATGGACACAAGAAATATTTTTGTATTCTTTTTATTTTATATTGTTTTTGTAAATATTTTTGTATTTGTACTTTCTTAGTGCCTGTAATTTGGAATAAATGTTAATAAATAAATAAATAAATAAATAAATAAATAAATAAATAAATAAATAAATAAATAAATAAATAAATAAATAAATAAATAAATAAATGGCCAGTCCGATAAAAATCTCTCGTTTCAGTTTGAATTGAAATTTATTAATATTTATAAAACAAGCAGAGACAAGAGAACGGGTTTCTGGTCACGTGCCTAATGCTTTAAATCAAAATTCATAACAGCGCACGAATATTGATATTCAGGTCATGTTTCGTCTGCTAAATGTGTATACTGATAAAACTGCAATATTTAAACATATCAATTTTTGTTTGTAAAATCATTTTTAAATTTTTATTCGTAAAATTAATTAGTTATATAATTTAATTAAACACCTATTAATAGTCTGAAAGTGCAATCTGATTACAACAATTGTGGTTACGGTTTCTGTGGAAAAAACAAAACAAAACAAAAACGGAAATGTATGCAATTACAGCATGGGAATAGTATACAATCACCGTATGTCCAAATATGGTTATAATTTAGGGCAAATGTCAACAATACGCACATCATTTTTCAACGAAAGTTTTTACAGAAAACTGTGGAAAAGCTTAAAAATAACAAAAAGTATATAATTATCCTGTAAACACTATTCATATCATTTTTATCTTGTGACATGAGCACGTTGTTTGGATTTTCCCTTTTCATAGCAAAGGATGTTAAAATGTCGTGAAACAGCAATAAAAACGGGCAGGCATTCATCTTTGTGCTCGAGTTGCAAACCGAGACGAGTACTGTTTTCAGGGTAGTTGAATACGCTAACATTACGGGTCATTTTATGTGAGATGAACTTTTTAAACCTTTTTCTTATCTTGTTTCTGTGTCCCTCGAGTTACACCGATGTAAGAGAAAAACAGATGTAAACACGTTACGCCAGCGTGTGAGAAAAACACATATGAATACCAGCGTAAGGGGCTTGAATATGATGTAGTTCAGACCCCAGCGAAGAGACAACGTCAGTGATCTATGACCATTCACTATGGGTTTACGTTGTAAGTGTATTAGCTTTATAAACTGAAGTTGAGTGCAAATGTCAACACATAACATATTGAAAGGTATGTACTCGAAATACACCTGTATACGTTGTAAAATATGCTGTTTGGTTCCATTATAGAGTTAAAAGGAGATTAGCTCCATGGTCCTATCAAATGTATTTAGTATACAGTATATAATAAACTATTATGACAATTTCCATGACCCAGAAACAAAAATGCAGATACATACGGCTCAACTGAGACATTGTCTGGAAGCGCCATTATCCGATTTATCCCCTGGTCGCCATACTTACGCTTGTAGTGAGAATCGCTGCTGTGAACACAATATTGCGAGATCGTTATATCTCTTGTTACCAGACGTAACCTCTCCTCGTGAAGACACGGTATTAGAGCGAAAACCCTGGTAGGGTTACGGAGATGCCCTGTGTAGGGGACGCGGTGGATTAACTTAAGTCTTTGTTAGTTACAACTTCACTGCACCTTAGCGGGGTCACTGTGAAGTGATGCATGTATAAGGACACAGTGTGTAAATATGAGCTATTAGAACTGCCGGAGCGAAGTTAAACTGGAGCCAACGTTTATTTTCATTTGTTTCTACTCGGTCTTTACAAAGTGTGTTTTCGTAAGATGGATACGATTTAGTCTGTTGTCCGTCAGACTAACTAACTATGAATGACGTATGCGTCACGTGATGCGCTGTACACAGTGAAAGTTATATACCGTGAAAAAATAACATTCCAACAACAAATATATATTGTCACTTGTCTACATACATCGACTTGTGTTGAATATTTGGCACATTTATACTGTTTTAAACGTCGCTCACAATCTCGCACTTGTTGCAATTCGAATTTAGCGAAAAGACACGCATTACAAGTAGTCCCAGGGCACCGACTCGGGCAGGGACGATGCCCACACACTAGGCAAAGAAAGCGATCTTTAAGGTCCCCATCAGTAACCTCGACCCTAATCCTGACACTCCAGCCCAAATGTACGGCTGTACATATCCCTCCAAATAACCACTTGTCGTTATATAATTAAAATGGGGGAGGACACTGGAGGGGCGAGGCAAGGATAAGAGTTATTGGTGAAGGTCTTAAACAAATCTCACCCTGTGCGAAACCATGTTATCTTGGATGTTTGCTGTGCAGATGTGTCGTGTTGCGACTATAGTCCATAGTTAGTGTGCAACTTACCTCGTCGATCAATAACTGTGTTTTCTTGACTGACTCGCGACGTCGTGGTAGCGGTCACACCTTTGCGTCTACACTGGAAGTGACGAACCTTGTATAGATATTAGTAGGCCGATTGTTACCTATACAACACGGTCATCGCTTTAAGGTTAATTACTGACCTTGGGCCGAATTTGTTACTCTCCTTTGAATGACTTACTCAATACAAAGCACAGCACTAAATGGAAATTAGGTCTCGCGGCCCCTCGCTTACAATAAGATGTCTAAGGGTCATTGGGTTTACTTCATTATCAACATTTTTGGCAGAAACTTTAACATTTTATTTAGTTTTATAATTATTCTGATTTTTTGGAAGCGTAAAAAAACGTAAAAACGGTAAACGCTGCGTGGTCAACGCATGTGTGCGGATCAGGTTGAATTAGGTTGTTTATATTGATTTCGACCTGAATTGTACTTCAGGCAATCTGGAATGCTAATTTCAAGAAGGTAATGGTTTACTATTACAATCACGTTCAAAGAAACGTTCAACACTCGACGCTTAAGAAATAAAAATGACTCAAATTCAATAGACAACTGTATAATATATTGCAGTATATATACCATCCCATGATACAGTACATGCTACGAAATGTACAGTCGCAAATACGAGCATTTACCCGTAACGACTGAATAATTTACGTACCCGAACTTAAATACCACGTGACACGGCGTGTGTGTGTGTGTGTGTGTGTGGGGGGGGGGGTGATTATGAATTTGTATTTTTGTAACAACAAAACCAGAGTAGTGTATTTTTTTGCAGAAACTAATAACTAATTTTGTAAACACCGCAGTAAGCATATGTTTATCACGTGACTCTCTGGCACAACATCATTTCGAGACGGTGCTGGATCACTGGATTGGGCAGGTGATGAGGAGAGAACAAAAAAGCCTCCCAAAAGTAGCCCTAAACTCAGATGGAAAACGAAAAAGAGGGCGATCCAAAACTACTTGGCGTCGGACGGTAGAGAACGAAATGAAAGCGATGAACTTGACCTGGGGAGGTGTCCAGAAAACAGCCCAAGTCAGACAGAAGTGGAGATCCTTCGTTGCTGCCCTACATGCCACTTAGGCTTAATGGGCAATAAGTAAGTCACTGGCACGCTGAGCATATTCAGAATCCGACATATGAAATTTCTAGTTTAAAATGTCCAGTGTGTATCATGGTTAATATTTAATTATCAAAATAATTTATTATTATACTTTACAGCGCTTATCTCTACTACATTTTTCACTTCTAACACAATAACACAAATTTCACACTTTAGGCTGTCGAATACACCGCTTTTACAACTTAAAGTCGCGCCCTCTACCGGTGACTCCGGTTTGATTTAATTGCGGTTCGTCCATTAATATGTTTTCGCCTAGCATGTCATTATAGATAATCTGTAATTTCGCTTATTTGAACTAATATAATAGTATATTTAGCTAAAATTAAGTTTCAGTTAATTTGTTGAATTCGTTAAAATAGTTTAATATTTGCAGCTATTTCTATTGATATAAATAAACCAATGTCACTTGGAGGTCACACAAGCACATCGACACTAAAAGGCGGTGTGACTTAGACACACAATGATGTATTGCACGAGCTAGTGATTAAAGTCAATCTAGTACGCTTCAGTGTTTCCACGAAGACGTCTATAAAACCCAAGCCTCTCGCATATAGCATGTACTGCTATATGCATCCATTGATGATCGCCATGTATGCACATGCATATTATGAATACCCGGTGATGAGTTCGCGTTGAGATCACGCTTCGTCGGTTCCACGACACGCAGCCAAATTGTTTCTATATTATGGTGATGCGTTACTAAGTATGTCAATAACACGTACGGTAGTCCACTATTTACATATTCTGCGTTGATTTATGTTCTATTCGTGATTATCTGTATATTAGAGTTACATCCCATAGCATAGGACACAGAGACGACGTTGTGAAGGCGAATAAATTACGCCGCCAATTAAACAGAAAATTGTAATGTGGTTTCTATGGTGAAATGTAATATATAATAATGACACTAATACTTAAAGATTAAGACATGTTTTAAAGTCAATTTGTTGCCAGCCCAAAAGATTATGGTCATATGTTTTGTGTTTATCTACACAACCACAATGGTGTATCTCACTGAATATAGCAATTCGTTCGTTGTCTTGTTTAAATAACAGAATGTCGTTTAAAACGATAGCTGCAAGGACAGGGACAGTGCTTTGGACGACAATTTGTAATGTGCAATATTGTTGCACAGTTAATTCAGTGATTTCACCCATAATATACCATGTAATATCCTCTTATTCTTATTAAATGTCATGTAACGTCACAAACAACAGTAGCAGATAATAATAATAATATACATTTATTACAAAGCTAGGTATGTTGACTACTCAGAATTCAGGATTTGTCGCAGCTGGAATCGCATCACACAGTAATCGCCAAACATACTAAAACAGATACTAAGCCAGTAGTGAACGCATGTATTTTTTTCTGACTCACGACAGCAACATATTTGCAATACGTTAACAGTCTCCGTCTTCAAATACCATGCCGAGAATAATATTCGTCGTCTTATTCTTCTTATGGCAGCCAGTATACTTATTTTTCGTGTTGAGCTGTATGCCAATGATGAGGCTGGTATTCAGCACATGGGTATTCAGCAACGCAACATGACTGACAATAAAACAAACAGGCACATTTCATATGTCCATGTTGATAAAAATGAAGTAATTCACAGTAATATCAGGGGTAAAATCTTCTTCTCTCGGGGTTCTCCACACGTGTCAGAGGGGAAACTCGTCTCGTCCCTCTATCTCGTCCCCTTGAGGTACGGGATTGGGAAAGTCATTTATACTTTACAGTCAAATAAGACACACACAACGAAATACGTTTCAGCTCTCGTCTTAGTCGTTCAATCGAGCACTCTATAAAACACATCGCCCTGGGGAAAAGTCCCCAAGACTCTCACAAAGCTGAACCAAGACTCACCCAAGACTGGACTGCGTCAAGGCTCGCCCCAAGACTCTCTTAGACTGGACTCGACTGCCCAGGACTGCACTCTCTCTACTGCGTCTATGGTGCTGTGCTCCCCAAGACCAACTCAAACTCTCTTTATTCATTTTCAAAACTCTAACCAATTACAAAGCAGTAAAAAGACTCTAGGGCGTAACCTTCAATCATAAAGCCAATCACACTAAGTACTGAATACGTCATATCTTTTGATTAATCGTTCACTACATTAATAACTATGAATATAAACTGTCAAAATGGCGACGATTATCTGGTAATTAGTTCCAAATCACTGAGCCAAGTTCCGTCCAAAACTTCAAATAGGCCTACACGGTGACAGACATAACAGCAATTCGCTAATAATCAGCTAATTAAGTCGGTTAACAGATACGCAAAAACAAATTCATGACAGTAAACTTAATTGGAACAATGATTGTGATTCTGCATTTCAGCTACCCAAGAGCCATGACATGAGAATTGATAATTAGCCATCCAATTGCACATTTTTGATTAACCTAGCATGAAATGCTCATTTACGAATTCGACATCTGAGTCTATTATTTGATTGGCACCGCTCAGCCATCAGGCTGATTGGGCAAACAGAAATCTACTAAAAATCATTCTACTCAAGTAGTATTTCTTGTAGGTATTCCATAGTCTGTGGAAATTCAAGAAGAACTCAGTCGTGAGAGTCTTCAATATGACGATCTAGTTCAAGGAAGTTTCCAAATAATTATACTTCAGGAACTTGACCAGAAAAATACTAATGTTCCTTAGGTGGTCGTATTATTTTTGTTTGTCTACAAATTTCGTTATCAAAACTGAAATTGACGTTTTTGTAAACTTGATGAACATTGTACCACAACTCAGTTCTTTGCCAAAAACAGATACCTATCTTGGCCAGCATCAGGGAAACCCCCATGTAATTCGGGATCCTCGGAACAAATGGTATATATATTACGATGTTTATCCAGATGAATATTATCCAAGCTACAACATAGGCGCGTTATATATTATTTCCGGAGATTTATCTAGAAGGTGTTATGAACACATATTGCGGCATCAAACTGCGTACATATCATCTGGCGATTCATATATAAAAAAATAATTGGAGTTACAATGTCGAAACTCAGTGTACCACCTTCTACATACAGAATATTTAACCTTGATGGGACTACACTGAACTGAATGTTTCAGCGAGGATGATGCTTGTTTACTTGTCAGGTTTGGAGGAAATAAAAAACCGAAATATTGATAAAATATTCGATGACAACATAGATGCAGAGACGATCATTCTGGAAGGCATATGCCTTGCTGTAGTGATAACAAGGCCAGCCTCCCAGCAGAGATGGATAACTAATTATCGACAAGTTGTAAAACCAGTATCAGTAATAAAGAATAATAGTATAGACGTGATTCAGTTTGTCTGCAAGACTGATAACGAGATTGTAAATATATTGGGTGAACATGAATCGTTGTATTACAAAGATATGGTGCGAGGGGATATTTTGTGTGATGAGGACAATATGTATGAAGGACATGTTTTTGCAAGTAACTGGGCTAAAGATAAATTATTCTCACAATATATTATGTTTATGAACTCGGGTCGTGTACACATCGACTTGTATACAATGTTAGACCTTTTTATTCAAACCAATGGAAACATTGATATCGCCTTCTTCTGTGAGGGGGAAAGATGTTCATGCAATGGCTTACAGAGTAACTCAATACTGAATGGTGGTCTGAAAGATATGACGTGTGTAGAAGATATGGCTTCTTTAAAATTATTCGCCAGTCTTACTTCACGACATTTATTATTGCCTTTCGTTCGTATTGATATACGTAAAACGGAATACATAGTCGTTAAATCCAGACTATTTACTTATGGATCGAGAAGGAAAGGAATAACTGGATTCGCTTGTCAATTTCGGCATTCATACTTTGCTGAATTTTGGCGAGGAAAGCAAAACTTGTATTATTTGCCCTGGCTGAGCAATGACTGTGACAATAAGA